CAGAATGCCTCGAGAGTTTTGCGCGTTTGTGTTCTTGATTCGTGTGCGAGGATCGTGACACATACTTCAAAATCCTCCCCGTTACACCTCTGGGTCCTATGCGTGCCTAGCGGGGTATTTGGTCTATGTTTGCCGGATAGGTGTTTTTTTATGCGGACACAAAGGGGTCTGCCCGTTTCGCCAATATATTCGTCCCCGCACGCTTCACAAGAGATCAGATAGACTGTACCCGAACTCATGCAGTCACCGTCTCTACCATTAGGGCAAATTATGCAATTTTGCGTTGCACATAGACGGTCGTATAGGCGGTTACGAACTAGCTGGCGTCTTAGATTACTCGGTGGTATTTCGATTATCGTTACCGAACTCTCTAGACTGGCCCTTCTTAAACAGCGTTTTATAGCTGTACTTACATTATTTGAGATGAAGGGTAGGATAAGCGGGACCTTTCTATCGCTAGTGTTCTCGTTTGGAGGCCTAGGATTTTCCCTACACCTATCCTGAGCTACACTTTCCTAGCCATTAGAAATGGCTATTTGTCGCGCCAAGTTCCCCTTAGACATAAATGTAATGGTAAGGTTTGGAGCCAGTTGTTGTCCCATTGCCAACTCTCTTATTTGAGCGTAGTACTTTCCGGACCATCTGAAGATTGAGCAGCTCAAGCATTCTTTTAAGAATGCCATCAAGTGCTCTATCTTGAAGCCATACATGTTTATTTCTTCTTCGTGTTGTGTAAGGAGTTCGAATATGGCTTGCATAGCGGAGTCATTCGACACGTTTGTATTAAGGGCGGTAACGTCGAAGGACTCCATCACGTACGCGCTGCTGTGCTGCGCAGTACATAGACGACCCAGAAACATCTGGGTATTCGTAAGATGGGCTGGAATGTGTACCAACAACTGGTTAAATATTAGGGTTAAAAACCCTAATATTCCATATTTCCATACTTTTACTTCAAAATCGTCTCCGCTATTCTTTTGTATCCTATGCGTGCCTAGTGGGGTGGTTCGTCTTAGTTTTTGTTTGCCATCTAGGTGTTCTTTTATACGAATACACAAAGGTCTCCCACGACCGACTTTCTATTAACCTCGGCGTTGATCAAGTAATTCTTCGTATTTTTGCTGAGCAAACGCGAGATGTTATTATTCTTTGTTCACGATTAAGCTGACGTTTCGGCGGGTTTCGCCTTCCTCAAAGCCTGGAAAGGTCAAGTTGATAGCAATCTACTCGGCCAGACGCCTCCATAACCAAACAAAGAAACTCTAAACCAAGATTTCAATCACTTTGAACACAGCTTTGCACACTCATCGCTTTCTATGAGGTTTCCACTAAGAATGTCACGTAGAGACCAACCGCACAGAAATCATAGTATTCACCATTCACAGTACAAATTCACCTATCGGAAAATGGCTACATTACAAAGTGGTACCGAAAGCCAAGTAGTAAAAACATCTTGGTTCATTACCTCTCCTCTCACCCCTCTCACACGAAAAGGGCGCTTGTAAGAAACATGTTTCGAACAGCAACCAACGTGTGCACGGGAAGAGAGCAGAGAGAGGTGTCGCGGAACTTGGCGCAGGAAATAGCCATTTCTAATGGCTACGAAACTGTAGCCCAAGATAGGTGTAGGGGAAATCCTAAGTCTCCAAACGGGAACTCTAGCGATAGAAGGGTCCCGTTTATCCTACCCTTCATCTCAAATGATGTAAGTACAGCTATAAAACGCTGCTTAAGAAGGCAGGTTTAGAGAATTCGGTAAACGTAGTTGAAATACCACCGAGTAATCTTAAGCGCCAGCTAGTTCGCAACCGCCTATATGACCGTCTATGTGCAACGCAAAATTGCATAATTTGCCCCAGTGGTAGAGACGGTGAATGCATGAGCTCGGGTATAGTTTATCTGATCTGTAAGACGTGCGGAGACGAATATATTGGCGAAACGGGCAGACCCCTTTGTGTCCGCATAAAAAAACACCTATCCGGCAAACATAGACCAAATACCCCGCTAGGCACGCATAGGGCCCAGAGGTGTAACGGGGAGGATTTTGAAGTATGTGTCACGATCCTCGCACACGAATCAAGAACACAAGCGCGCAAAACTCTCGTGGCATTCTGGATTAATTGCAGAAATCCGAAAATGAACCGAAGAGAAGAATGCCTCATTATCACGCGTGATATAGGGCACTATATAAGACTGTTATTTTAATGGGAGGGGCACATTATGCTTCCATGTGATTTTTGTGGGGTTGGTCTTCACGCGACATACTTAGTGGAAACCTCATAGAAAGCGGTGAGTGTGCAAAGCTGTGTTCATTGTGATTGAAATCTTGGTTTAGAGTTTCTTGGTTTGGTTATGGAGGTGTCTGGCCGAATAGATTGCTATTAACTTGACCTTTCCAGGCGCTAATGAAGGCGAAATCCGCCGAAACGTCAGCTTATTCGTGAATAAAGAATAATAACACCTCGCGTTTGCTCAACAAAAATACGAAGAATTTCCTGTTCAATGCCGGGGTTAATAGAAAGTCGGTCGTGGGAGTTATCGAAATAGTGTCATGTATTTAGGTATTTCCATGTCTTTCAGTGGAAAATCTAATTCGAAGAGTTGTAAAACCAAACAATTAGAGGAATTGACACCAACCTCCTTTTTGAGCTTAAATTTGAAACTAATCAATCGATGCTGAGAAGAAAACTTGCTAATGTACTTATACTATTTGGCAAGATTTAAAATCGTCAAAAATGCGAAATGTATCTGGGAAATGCGAGTAATTTAATAGTTATTTACAGTGAGTACTGTTAATTTACTCTCCAAGGTGACCCATCTTTGATTTTTCGCAGTTTTTATGTGTGTTTCAACGGTATACAGAGCGGGTTCGAAGTACGGAATTTCATAGTTTTTGTTATAAATGCAGTTCACCACTATGGGCGATGATTGATGATATTACTGTTTTAACTGGTGTTGATGCATTCACTGAATAGTTTACCCACTGTTCATTCAACTCATGTTAGGACTGTGTCCATCTGGCCCTCGGAAACAAGAGTTCCTGAATCCTATTCCGCTTTCTAGTTTCAACCCATGTGCGCAGATTTAATACCATAGCTTAAATCTAGGTATGAGAAAAGGATGATGGCAAATCCTTTTGCGCCGCGATATCCTTTCTCCCACGTATTTCGTGTATCGCGTTCTGTTAGGGTCGTTTCGTTATTTCATTACTCGATATTTTTTCTGTTATGGCGGGAGAGATTTTAACTGTAGGTTTTTCTTCTAACTGTTATTTGCTTCCTCTTCTATTTTCATGGCACGGTGCGATTTAAGATGCAAGCGCATGTAAACTGAGATATGAGCAAAACTCTAAAAAAACCGAAACTCGACTAAGTTCAATGCCGACTTGTGCTTACTACTAGATCATTCCTGTTTACGGATGATTACTGATAGCATCGACATAAAAATAAGGTTGAGAGAAAGCAAAAACCTCAGTTTATGTGGTGGATAGAGGGTGAGATCTCTGGAAGGATAACTGCGGGTTCGAAGCTCACATGGGGTACCGAGTCCCGCTCATTTCCCAGGTTCCTTGTGATTCACCAAAGATCTGTACTTAAGAAATTTTGGCCTGCTTGGAGTGCTGAAGAATTGGCTTTCTCACACTTATGTTGTGCAGTTCCATTCACATGTCTCGAACTAATGAGGGTATTCTACTTAATAGTAATGCTTCTAGGTTTTTTAAATATCTTCTTCTTATTGGACTCGCCATCGGTTTCTTCTTCATTCGCAGTGAGAATCTATCTACTCGTGAGTTTCTCTATAAATGGAATTTTCTGTACTTTGTCTCGTTTCCTTTCTCCAATATTCGTCTTATATATACACTATATAGAGTTTCTTCAGCTCTAATGTGGTTTGGTATGATTGGTGGTTTCCTCTTCATTCTGATCCAGCTTATTTTGATTGTTGACTTCGCTCATGGTTTAGCAGAGAATTGGGTAGACGCGTGAGTTTTATTTTCTATGTTTAAAAAGTGAATTTTTTTATGCTTAACTGATCGTTGTGTAGATACGAAGAGAATGAATCGCGTTGGTGTTACGCTGGATTGCTAACATTCACCTTTGGCTGCTTTGCGGTCGCATTGACAGGGATTGTGCTTATGTTTATATTCTACACCACGGTTGGTTTTTTTTTTTGCGAAATTGACACGAGAGAAAATGTGTTAAGGACTATTATTAAATTCCATAGTTACTTGGATACCTGAATACTTGGATTGCCTGTCTTGACTGGTTGTGAGGGCCCCAGCTCAATTTCCACTTTTTCGGAGTTTACCGGTCTAGCTATTGTGGCTATCTCAAGTCCCGTGGTTAGCCAGGCCAGTTTCCCTCAGGTCGTCATCACCACAGGCAGTGGCCACCCTTGTAAATCAGAGGGAGGTTGGCCTCTATGCTACTGGTTCGATGCTAGGATGGTGGTGGATCCTGCTACTGGTTTACTCTTAGCTGGGGCTTCCTGATGGAAACGAAGGACTCATTCTCAGCTTGGGAGACCCACCTGGTGGATAAATCCTCCCGCTGTACATCGCAACCCGACACCCAGGAACTCTTCACCTTCGACCCACAATGAGGCGGTACACCGATGGGGGAATTTCATAATTACTAAAAATAGTGGAAATAACATATGGTAGAAGAGCGTCTTCATCTGCGTTTCCTCTTGTGTGTGGTACATATTTTTTGATGCCTTTTACTAGATTTTTAACGTTTTCAGGGAGCAACTTGTGCGTTGCCAAAGTTCTTTATTTCCTTCAATATGATTCTATGTATAGGAATCAGTGCTCTGTCGATCATGCCTTTCGTACAGGAGAGGTAGGTATGCTTTTTAATTAAGTAGACTTAACCCTTTTATTTACTGCCTTTTTTCTTTTTAATGTCAGGGTATGTTGCGAAATATAACTCGTATGTAATGCTGAGATATTTGCAAAACTCCGGACCGCAGGTGTATGCGGTGGGGAACGAACGCGCTATTGTCCTTTCGGGGGAATAGCGCGTTCACCACCACACCATGCGGGTCCTCCGTTTTGTCTGTCTCTCAGCTAGTTATATCCATATATATATCAGCATTACATGCGAGTTATATTTCGCAACATACGCTGCCATTAAAAAGAAAGGAATGGTAGTAAATAAAAGGGCTAAGATTGTGATTATAACTAAGCCTCAGCTTAACCGGGTTCAATGCCGATTTGGGCTCCCCAGATCAATCCCGTTGACGGGTGATTGCTGTTGGCAAAAGATCAATAGAACTAGCTGAGAGACAGGCAAAACGAAGGACCCGGATGGTGTGGTGGTGAAGTGCGCTACTCCCCGTAAAGGGCAATAGCGCGTTCGTTCCCCACCGCATACACCTGCGGTCCGGAGTTTTGCAAATACTCAGCATTGTATATAAGTAGACTTATTACAAAGTGATTTATAACCATTATGCATTAAACAATTCCATATCAACATTTTTTAGCATACCACGTTCTGGGCTTCTTCAATCCTCTTTCATCACCGTGTATGTGATGTACCTCACATGGGCTGCTCTCATTAATAACCCTGGTATGTTTGCCGTTTTCAGAAGTGGAAAAAGTTGTCCTCAGAAAACTACTGTGCTTTCCAATCGTGTACACCTTTATGCATATGACTTGAAATTTTCCAGACAAACCATGCAATCCGTCGCTTATCAGCATTTTGAGGAACGCCACTCATCCAGAAGATGAGCATGTGAGTTTACTACATTTGAGTTCTATCATCCAATAGAAAATTTCTTACCATGATGAAATAAGCAAAGTTAACACATGCCGCGAGGATGCGTTGATTTCAATGCTTTTATTGTGGGAATTGCTCATCCATTACATGTTGGTCCAACCATGCTTCAAGTTTGTTTCAAGTTTTTTTTGCGTTTGGTAATCTAAAGAAGACTATCGTGAAGTTTTCTCCTCCTGAGGTAGGCAGGCAAATACAACATACTGGTAAATAGAGATCCACCACAAAAGCTTTTGCGCATGAGTACTGTAAAAGGGTATCTACTGAATTCGAACTGAAGTTTAGTGCATAAGGAAACTGTTGTTTCATGATAAAACGACACATTAATGACGAGACTTGCCTAGATATATCTGTAGTGTAGACGTGTGCTTCACTGGTTCGCTGTTCAGAGAGCGGAAATTCATCAATTTGCTTCCACTAAGTTTGTTTTAGAAAGGTGATATAAATTCTTACTGTCATTAGTTTTTGCTGATATCTTAAAAGTTTTGGTCGAAACCACTTAGTTTACGATGCCCTGACCAATCGGAGATCATTGATTGCCCTATCCTGCCAGTTTATTGCTGTGAAAAAATAATTACTCTTATCATCTTTAAACAAACATATTGTAATTAACTCTATCAATTGTAACGAAAACTGCCAGAATGCGGAGGTCTTTGCCAAAAGGCGAACGTGCTGTTGTTGTGCCAAGATTAAATCCTGGTTCTTTTCAAAAACTTAAAGTTTAGGCGACTTAAGAATTGAAATCGTTGAAAAGTTAGGACGCATTAGTGCAGTAGAGGCAGGTCTGTATTATAAATCTGTCGTGTGATCTACGTCTCAAATTTTCTAGTTCAGAAACAGTTATTGAGAGTCTCATATAACGAACATCGTCCATTTTCGGTATTCGGTATGTAAAATTCATTTTTGACCAATACTTGGCTGTTATTTTACTTCTGTTTGTCGTGTTGCATCATGGCTATTTTATGGAATGGATAAATGTGAAATGTAGTAGATTAGAGTCAACCTTAGTTGCAAAACAGTGCTCCAGATGCAGACAGAAGTATGGTTTAACTATGGACGAGTTGTAGCAAGCCTATAACTGACTGAAACTTAGGCGTAATTTTATTTAGTCGCTACAAAAAAAAATTTAGATATAGTACTGTTAGTCGTGAGTCAGTAAAGTCGGTCGTGATAGTACTGTTAGTCTGGAGCAAATCTTCTGTGATGAAGAGCAATTGGAGTGGCAAGGAATAACATCAATTTTTCCTGACATACTTCTCAGACACAGGTTTCTGAGACAGTTTTATTTCAGTCATACGGTACACCAGTTCCAGCTCAGTCAATTGTATCATTGGTTTTGTGGTTCTTATGTCTGTTGTACGCCTCAATTCGCACTTCGACCAATTCATCTCTGGGAAAGATCACTGGTGGAGGAGAACATATGCAACTCAGTGGGTCACGCGATGCTATTATGCCGTTGAGCGGTGAGTGCGCGGTCCCTGTCTAGTGACAGTGATAGATTGTAGTGATAGAATATGACTCGAAAGTAGACAATCTTCCACTTAAGACTGTGTTGAAGTCTTGGAGAACAAAAATATTTTAAATGTCTGCTTTCGACAAGTAATGTCGCTCGAAATTTGGCGCTGGTTCGAAGCGCTAATTGACTTTGATCCATTACCTTATTCATCCAAGTGACTTTGCGAAAAAAAAAAATTTAGAAAGGTGCTTATTGTTTGCCTCCTGCTTCGTTCCTTATGAACTTTCTGTTGTGTGGTATAACGTATGTAATACCGATATGCAGGACCTTATTGTTTACCTAGAACCTTAATTCTCTTTAGCTCTATAGCTTAGCGTCGCAAAGTAGGTTTTGAAAATTTTCACGAGGACCGCGCAATCTCCGTCTGTTTTTGTTGCATGCTGCACTGCTAAGTCAGGTATCGGAGCTCCTATCTGTTTTGTTTCTGTCCTATGCTATTCGTTGTGTTGCTGATCTTACAATGTTATCAGTGCTATAAGACCTCACTCTTACTACTATCCGTTGGCAGTGTTCAAATTCTAAAACTTTTTTTTTGTAAAAGGGAGGGAACTAGTCGCAGAAAAAAATTGATCGTCAATAACCTTTGTTGAGGTTCAATCTCTCTGAAGGAAGAGGAATGTGAGTAGTTCAGTCTCCGTAGGCAAGAAAATCTGAATCTTACTATCGTATTGTGTTAATCATGTTATGTTCGAAAAAGCCTTTTTTACACAGGAAGGAATATTTTTGTCTGGTAAATACAAAGTCCTCCCAATAGTTTACTGCCTCATCATGGCTGGAAGGTGTTCCTGCGTGTCGGGTAGAGAACGCGGTTTTCCTCCACCCGACAGGGTCTTCCAAGTTGAGTTCGGCGTTTCCACCAGGAAACCCAACTAAGAGTAAACCAATACCAGGATTCACCACCGTCGTGGTATCAGACCAGTCTTATGGTGGCAAATCTTCCTCTTATCAACAAGGGCGACGACTGTCTGTGGTGGTCACGCACGACCCGGGCAGACTTTGACCTTGCTGACATCGGGACTCCACACAACCACAATGGCTGAACCAAGCAAACGCCGAAAAGTGGAGGTTATGATGGGGCCGGCACAACCACTGAGGACGGTCTGTCCAAGTGTCCAAGTAAGTAGGGTGCAAAGTAGTTTTCATCTCTTCAGTTTCTTTTATCGTGAGGGACTTGACTAATAGTATCCCAATGAACTTCTTATTAGGTTTTCTATCAGTGTTTTTTTCGATTTCTCAAGTTAGTGCATGAACACTGCATGCATGATTGTTTCCACCCGTTTTGCACTTTACTACCTTTTCTTATCTGGTCAGGACCTCAGGTAGATGTAATTGTTTTGTGGTTTTAGATGACAGTGAATCTGAATCAAAACGTTCCTATCGCGTTTGGGACAATGAAACCGAAGGCGTTGCATATTCCTACTCATTCTTCCATTTCATGTTCGGATTGGCGTCTCTTTATGTCATGATGACGCTGACGAGTTGGTACAAGTCAGTTTTTCACAGTAGTCGCTGAGAATACTTTAGTTTTGAAGCGATAAAATTTTCCGAACATTTAGCATTTTTTAAAATTTGGTTCGGGTTATTTGTCACTACATTTGTCTGTAAATTTAATCAAAGTTTTAAAATGAAATTATAGTGGTGATTTAACGTCAACTATTGCGATTTTTGTTTATTTTCGCAGTTTACTTCACTTGTTTTAGTCCGGGAAATGATCTAGCTCATCTGAACAGCAACATGGCATCTGTCTGGGTGAAAATAGTTTCTTCATGGTTATGTCTGGCCCTTTATGGATGGACACTGATTGCCCCAGCGCTGTTTCCAGATAGAGAATTTTAGCAGATGTTTGAAGTGGATACATTTCGTTACTTCTCTGCAAATATCCATCCGTCAAAGTTGCTCTTTGGCTAGTCAGCTTCGCGTCTTCTACCACTCTGTGTGCTTTTCAGTCATTCCATTCATCGTGTTTCTTTAATGATTGAAATGTCACCATATGTTTTTCCATGCTGCAAATGAATTCCAATAATTCATCAAGGGTAAACGTAAAATTTCTACTTTACTCCACTGAAATCGTTTAGAAGCATCGCCATACTATTTCTGCTTCTTCATTGTTTAACATTCTGCAACCTTAGTGTATATGAGTGTGTATATGAGTTCTACTTTTGTGTTGTTGTGTACAGGTTTATAATACCAAGAGCTGTTTGTGCAGTTCGTGTGTTTCGCTCTGATTACTTGCTTTTTCTGGTCGATCACGTACCATACCGTATTGATTTCTCGCATTGATTTTGTCTGATACTTTCATGACTGTATAAATATTTTAGAAATTCATTATTTTATCTTGAAAGTGTTTAAATCACAAGTGTTTTATTATTATCTTCACGTGATATTTTCCGACTCTCCATATGATTCTACTTGTAATTCTGTTAGTAGTCTCAGTTCGCCACCTATATGTACGTTCCATAACGTTCTGCATTCATATCTTTGCATCACCAGTTCTATTAAATAGATGTTCCATCATTTGTGACGTCGATCTTTTAGTCATAGAAACAGGGTTTATCGATGGTCAGCAATATCCTAGGTATAAATCGTAAGATTAAGCTCCATCATCTCATTTTATCGAACAGCAAACGCGCCAAAGAGTGGCGAAGGTAGTTGAGATACGGCAACAGAGCGGTAGAGGTTGAGATCGGAATTTTCCTGTTGATCATAACCTGAATATCATAGTCGGCGTTGAGGTGGGCTGCAGTTCTTTTTCTTGACTCCCAGAAGAAGTCCTCGACGACGTTTGTAGATTGATATTGGTTGACGTGGTTTCAAGCGGACTAATCACTCGATGGGTTGCAACAAGATAGTAGCAAGATGACGATATTTTCAGAGTTTCCTGGAAATGTTTGCTAAAGTTTCTAGGACTCAAGTTTAATTTATAGGGAAAACTAGGTCTGATGTTGAACGACCGCTAAAATCAAGCCATTTCAGGAGACGTACACTACGGGAAGAGATGTTCACACCGGTTTCTCAGCGCAGCGTTGTTGACACCGTCTTTCTTATAAAGTATAGATTTTTGCTTATGGGAGAACAAATACACGCTGTCATCTAGAGCCATGGTGGTAGGGTGGTCTGCTTTCTACACTGGTCACATTTGTGGACCTAGTGAAGACTAGAAAGGAAATAAGCACGTACAACATAGAGGGCCAGCAAAAGAGCCGTTTTGAAGACACCTGAGGGAGATTTTGTGCATGGAAATGGTGCTTACTGTCATGTGGACATGGTTCCAGGATTGTAGTGTTCGATGCAACCGACTAGTGGATTGGTTGACTAAGCCGCGATGTCGCAGGTCGAGTCCATGTAGTTTTGATTTTGCGCATGATGAATAGAGTGATGAAATTATGAAATGTGGTGCACAGTTGACGAAGTGATGTGTATGAATGGCGAATTCGGGTGATCAGCAGTATGAAAGAAAGTTCGGCCATTTATGGACTGTCTTTCAGAGATCCATCACAAGCTATGGAAATATCGAGCATGGAGCGATATGTGGGACCGGTAGGGATTTTGCATTCAGTTTGTTCTAGTACAGCTTTATGGAAGAATGCGAACGCGTATATTCAATCTGTCAAGTTTGCATCTGTTGAAGTTATGTAACTAAGTATTCCTTTCCAAAATGCTAGCAGTCGCCATATTCCAATTGCAGGTCAATCCGGCACACTTCTCGCATTTGACGATATCTTTATGTGGGTTGGGTCTATTCTTTATGGCATGGTTCCTGGTGTATGAGGTGCGTTTTTGTCCTTAATGTACGGTTGTAGACTCTCTAGAAGTGTCTCAAAATGATTAAATAAAGCTGAATAGGTGTAAACATAAATTATGAGACATTTGAGAAAGTATATTATTTGCAAAACTCTGGACCGCAGGTGTCTATGGTGGGGAACGAACGCGCTATTATCCTTTCCGGGGAGTAACGCGTTCACCACCACACCATGCGGGTCCTTTGTTTCGCACGTCTCTCAGCTATTTCTATTCGCTTAGTAACCTGCCATGAAAATTATAGAAGGCAGAAAACAAAACGTTAAAACATTGTGATTTCAACTACAGCCATAGCTTAACTGGGTTCTATGCCGATTTGCGCTCCCCAGATCAACCCCGCTGACGGGTGATTGCTGTGGCAAAAAGATCGATAGAAATAGCTGAGAGACGTGCGAAACAAAGGACCCGCATGGTGTGGTGGTGAACGCGTTACTCCCCGGAAAGGATAATAGCGCGTTCGTTCCCCACCATAGACACCTGCGGTCCAGAGTTTTGCAAATATCTCAGCAACGTTGTGGTTGTATTTCGCTTAGTAACCTGCCATGAAAATTATAGAAGGCAGAAAACAAAACGTTAAAACATTGTGATTTCAACTACAGCCATAGCTTAACTGGGTTCTATGCCGATTTGCGCTCCCCAGATCAACCCCGCTGACGGGTGATTGCTGTGGCAAAAAGATCGATAGAAATAGCTGAGAGACGTGCGAAACAAAGGACCCGCATGGTGTGGTGGTGAACGCGTTACTCCCCGGAAAGGATAATAGCGCGTTCGTTCCCCACCATAGACACCTGCGGTCCAGAGTTTTGCAAATATCTCAGCAACGTTGTGGTTGTATTTCGCTTAGTAACCTGCCATGAAAATTATAGAAGGCAGAAAACAAAACGTTAAAACAAAGTATATTATGTTTGCCGAGGAGTTTATTCTAGGTGACGTCCAATAAATACACACGCAACATTGCCAAGGAGTTACTGATTGCAACCATTGCGGCACTCTTCCTTGGTTTCGGATCGCTGTTTCTGTTGCTTTGGGTCGGAATATACGTCTAAATTTTAGGGTTACCGTTGACTCATTGAAAATTCTGATGTGAAAGTTCCTCATTCAGCAGTTGGTTTTCTTTGGTCGTGTGATATTTGTTGGTGATTCACTGTTTCGACAGAAGTGATTCTTAAGTTACATTGCTTATGCGTGTGGTCATTATGTATTGTTAGTTTTATCTTTTAATAAATTATGGTTATTTCATATGTAACGGAGAGTGGTACCAAGTTTGCCATAGTTTTAGATTTTAGACACTGACTTATGTGAATTGGTCACATTAGAAATCGTATCCTCTCAACAGCTTACCACCTCATCGTGGCTGGGAGGTTTCTGAGTGTTGGACTGCGATGTACAGCAGTGGATTCATCCCATGGCAGGGTCTTCCAAGCTGACAAGGAGTCCGGCGTTTCCATCAGGAAGTCTAGCTAAGAGTAAACCAATACCAGGACCCACCACCGTACCGGTATCAAAGTTGCATGGTGGCAAATTTCCCTCTGATCCACAAGGGCTGCGATTGCCTAGAGTGGTACCTGGAGCAGACTTTGGCCAAGCCGACCTTGGGATTCCAGGGAACCACAATGGCTTAATCAGCAAATCTCCGAGAAATAGAGATAATGCTGAAGCTCGCACAACCAGTGGGACGGGCCATTCAAGTGTCAAGAAGTCGTGCAGGGGTCCCAGTATGAGAGGAATGAACGTTACATATTACTTTCCCAAATGCTTTTTCATGTTGCCCTTTGAGTTGCTTCTGCATAAAAGTGTATAAACTCTTTTATTCAAGCTCCGTTTCCTCATGTGGTTCCTGAATATCAACCAATTGCAAATTATAATTCCACCTAATCCTAAGAATGTAAGAATACTGCTGCACTATGGATGCGTATCGATCGTGTTTTTAGACTCGAATATATTAGAAAAAGCATGATCCAAATGAAAAGAACAGTTTTATCAAGGCGAAAAATATGGGAATCACCCGTAGACAATGGCCCAGAATAAGAATAAGATGGAACGCTAGCATAGTTACTGAAGTGAGAGGAAGTAAAGGCGGAAGAGAATCACAACGTCTAAAAAACTCAAAGTAACAGAAAGAACATCATTTAATTAGCACACGAGTTTTTCAACACATTGACGACCCTGCAGGATTTCCGACAACTATGAAGATTTGGAAGCTTCAATTTAATGAAGAGGCTTTGTCCTATCGTTCTGAAGCTATACTGGTTTTCTAGACACTTAATGAAACGGTCTCTAAAGGACTTAATGCAGCGCAACAGTCGCTAACATGAACTACGCATTTTATGAATCTTGGGATACTTTTTTGTTTAAGGCACTAAAATTCAAAATCAGCAGAGATATGTGTGTTCAGCACTGACTGGTTCCTGCGAACGGCTTGACCGAATGGTTGTCATTGTGTTGTGATAACAGAACATCTCATAACTTGTCTCAGAAATTCCATACCATGTACAATTTGTAGGGAAACCATTGAAAACCATTAGTTACCATAACACTTTCTTGCTATATACATTCTAAAAACAGTGTTCTGGAGAACTGCAATGTCACGAGTCTACTTGTCATCTAGACGACAGAAATTCTGACAATCCGTTTTCGATTTGAAACGATTCTCGTTTCCACCGCAGTTCTGGACACCGAACGGATAGCACTGTTCCGTAGTGACGTCAAAATAGTAGCGAGTTAGAAGATCTGTTGTGTCTTCCGTTGAAACGATACTTTCAGAACAGAGTCCGGAATCTGGAAAAAAGCGGATTTGATGCGATTTTTTCAACGATTGCGTAACGCCAATGAAGACGATTCCGTCTTTCTACGTACTTCTTATTCAACTTATAAATCTCGAACCTTATGCGGTCATGCAATTAACTACTTGTTACCCTTGATAGGCTACTGTGAGTCATTGTAAAGGCCAGTTATGCATTCAATCACCTCCAAACGATGCTTAATGAAGTCGAATGCATGGCGAATCCCACAGGAATTGGTCAACGCCGAGAGCTTTATCCTTTTTAGCTTATTACCCTTGACATCTCTTTCCGAATGAAACATTAATTATTTTCTTTGGTTAATTCCGTTTATTGGTATCAGATTGGTTTATTGGTATTCTTTACGCAAGTACACTACTGTACCTGGAATAGCCGACATAGCCAATACCAGGATTCACCACCGTTCTGGTATCAATGTCGCATGGTGGCAAATCTCACTCTGATCCACAAGGGCTGCGGCTGCCCGTGGTGGTGACGACTTGTGGCAGATTTTGGTCAGGCTGACCTCGGGATTCCAGGGAACCACAATGCCACAACCAGCAAATCTCCGAAAAATGGTGATTATGCTGGGGCAAGCACAACTAGTGAGGACAGGCCATTAAAGTAAGGACTAAACATCAATTCTGTTTATTTGGAAAAATGCATTTTGGAGAAAAGATGTAAGTAGGGTCCTTTACGCAAGTACACTACCATATCTGGAATGACCGACTCATTCGCTTTACAGTGTCACTTTTCCTATAGTGAACATCATGAGCAAATATTGAGGGAACTATGACCCAATTTTATTCTCGAGATCTTAGAGGCGTTAAGGGTAGATGTTTCGGCGTTCATAAATCCACCTGGTGCTTGTTCACATCCACTGTACATCTCTTGTAAATCGAATACATTGTTATTTTAAGACACGTCTCTTTCTTACACTATGTTTTGAAAAACATATATTCCTATTGCTCTTTTCATTTTATATAGCTCCAAGTGTTTTGCTACCAAGGAGTTGGTAACCGTTGTCATGTTTTTGTGCATCTATTTTGTTAATCGGGAACGAAGAGTTCTCCATGCTTCAGGTTCTTTTTCAACGGTGTCCAACAGCAGTTTATTTATGATAATTGATCTCATCATTGCTGACTATTAGCCGTTGCTTTTTTTCGGTTTACTGTTACATCTTTGGCATCCTTCTTAGCAGTTCCCATTTAATCGTGGCTAGGTGTCCCTAGGTGTCGGGTTGTGATGTAAAGCGGGAGGACTATCTCCTCAATAGGGCTTTCCAAACTGAGGAGGAGTCCGACGTTTTCATACAGAAGCCCAGCTAAGAGCAAACCAATGCTAGGAGTCCCCGCAGTCCTAGTATCAAACTAGTCGCACGATAGCAAACCCTCTAATCTAAAGGCGGCGGCTGCCTGGAGTGGCGGACTAGCAACGCTGGGCACGGGAACCATAATGGCCAAACTAGCAAATATCTGAGATGGTAATTATACTGGGGGTCCGCACAAAAAGTGAAGACCGGCCATCCAAGTATCTTTGGCATCACCCAACATAGGTATTCGGAAGAGAGCATCATTATTACTGCTGTTTTATTTGGGAATAGAATTCTCAAAGCCCACGAGATTTCGCCAATTACGAAGCCAAGGTGACTGTACCCCGATGCCCAGATGGAACACTTACAGCTTTCAGAAAGACAACGAGAAAATCATTCACGATTACTACTCGGATCTCTTCGATGGCCACCTCCTCCTTCCCACATAACAATAACGAAGGATGGATATGTCGTCTCATTGCTTATCCCTTTCGAAATCCGACATGCCAGTTTGGCGATGAAGAATAGAAGAATAAGAATACCTGGTCCAGATACGATAAGAATTAAACGCTTGAAGAATATTCCACAAGTCCCCGTAAACACACTAGCTCAGCTCTTCACACGTTACCTAATGCAGGGTTCCTTAAACCACCAAAACCGGGTTATTGTTTGAAAAGGGTGAGGCGTGGAGGAACAGTACACTTTGGTGCTTCGATACTTGGATGACCTTTCCTCACAGGTTGTGCGGACCCCAGCATAATCTCCATTTTTTCGGAGCCTTGCTGGTTTAGCCATTGTGGTTCCTTGGAATTCCGAGGTTAGCCAGGCCAAAGTCTGCCCCACGTTATTACCACCACAGGCAGCCGCACTTGTGGATCAGAGGGGAATTTGCCACCATACGACTTGTTTGATACCAGGACGGTGGTGGATCTAGGTATTGGTTTGCTCTTAGATGGGTTTCCTGTTGGGAACGCCGGACTCCTTCTCAGCTTGGAAGACCCTGTCAGGGGATTAATACCCCGCTGTACATCACAGCCCGACACTCAGTAATACCTCCCAGCCACGATGAGGCGGATACCGTTGAAGGAACGAATTAATGAAAGAAAAAAGTTGTAGGAATTTTTGTCTTGTAAGCAAAAATCTATGGATTCTAATAGCGTTCCTTTCAGATAATAAAGTGGGTTATTCTAATTGAAACATATCTTTTTGGAAGCTGCCGTTCTTTTTGTATTCAAGTCAATGTCTTGACATTACATAAAAGTCTTCTTAGCAATAGATTTGCGAAGTGGAGCAGTGGGTTAATCCTATCACAGGGCAATCGAGCTGAAAGGTCCAACACTTCCACTCTGTTTTCATTCGGAATCATTCGGAAAACCAGCTATGGTCAAAAGTCTCTTGCAACAATAAGCGACAGCTTACGTTGAAAGCCTAGAACGTGTGTATCAGGGCTACATATAAAAAAATCTTACCAAACCAGCAACAACAGCAGAATAAGAATACACCCGCTGGGGGAACCTGCAAGGTTACTCGTACAAACGAGCTTTTCCGGTGTTTTTACTATCTCTCCAACATATCCTTTTTTCCTACAAAACCACATAAATACGCTAGAAAAGGAAGGTTGGCCATAGGCAGAAAAGTTATGCGTTGAATACGTTTGTTTATGAAGTGATCTTCGTAGACTAATGTCGGAATTTAGACGAAAAACAGGAAAGCACACATTACTTGATGCTTACCAGGTGGTAAATAACAAATACTCGGATAGTGTTGTGGAGAGACGAACACTGGAGGATCTGGGAATCGTCCTCCTGCAGCCAACACCACCGCTGACACTAGCAGTAGCGCCAGCATGCACATCTGAAAAACAGATAATTGATTAGGATTATGAACAACGGTGGTAAAACCACAAAGACTGCGGTATCAATCAAACGTCGCGATCATACGGAAAAAAAAAACGAGCACAGTCAAAATAACGGATATGCACAAAAACTCGTTAAGAGCCGAAGAAACGGTGGACGAACAGGACTGTAGTTAGAAAGCAATCAAGTGGAATTTCATGAAATCTCAAGAAGGTTATGGAAAAATATGGAGAGCAGGTTGCGACACGAATCGCAGGTGGACATCTATCGATAATCAGTAGACGGATAAGTTTAAGTTTTAAGGTTCGCGTTCTATGCGCTCGTGTAGCGCACTGGTTACAGGCGTCTTGCAATACACATGGGATCGATCGCCGTACCCCAGGACTCTTTGCCCTTCACCAGCTCCTGAGAAATTAAGAGCCAAACTGAGCTGCTAGTGAAAATTCATGTGGCTTCGTATTTACACATTTGATAAATACTTTAATTCTAAACTATTAAAGAGCCTAAACATATAATATGAGTTAGATACTAATAGGCTGTTCAGAAATAAATGAGCGTTTTTAACTATATTATTTAAAACATTATGACCTGCTTCAAACAAAGCTTTACTAACAACGATTTGAATCTGCACATTTTGCCAACGAGAAACAAATTTAGGTTGCATAAAATTCTAGAGTTCTGGAAACGAGAATTCGTTGAAAGCATTTTTTGCGTCATCGTGGTAGGTGAAGCATTTCTCGCACAGGAAGTTGTCAAGGTGCTTGAAGAAGTGATAATCAGTAGACGAGAGGTCTGATGAATATGACAGATGCAAAAAAGTTTCGTAGGCCAACTCATTCAACTTCTGCAGCGCTGGTTCCGCAACGTGAGGCTGCGCTTTGTCGTTGAGGATTGGCCCTTTTCTGTTGACTAATGTTGATCGTTATTGTTGGAGTTTGCGGTGCATTTCCTCTATTTGTTGGGAATACTTCTCTGCCGTAATCGTTTCGCCCAGATTCAAAAAGCTGTGATGAATAAGCCCGGCTGCAGATCACCAAGCAGTCATCATAACCTTCTTATGGTGCAATTTCGTCTTTGGGAAGTTCTGTGAAGCCTAATCACAATTCAACCATTGAGCTGAACGCCGCCGATTGTCGTACCGAAGCCTTTTCTCGTCGCACGTCACAATTCGATCAGAAAAAGGGTCGTTTTTGGTGCGCAGAGTAGGAGCAGACGACACTTCAAAACTGCATTTTTTTATTATCGTTTAATTCGTGCGGTACCCACTTGCTGTGCTTTTTTTGCCTTTCCTATGCAACTCAAGTGAGTGGAAATTCTTCCGGTGCTTACTCCAAGCTGTTCTGCATCCACTCGAACAGTTGTTTGCGTGTTTGCTTCTACCGGTGCCTCCAATTCGTCGTCGTCAAGTTCATTAGGACGTTCGCGGCCTTCCTTACTTTCGAGATCGAAATCACCAGATCGGAATTTCCGGAACCACGTTTGCACTGTTTATTCACCAACACCACAAACTTCATTAATGTTTCGAGCCGTCTCTGCTTGCCCTACGACCAATTTGAACTCATAAAAGAAAATTTGATGAAAATTCGTTTCTGACATCTCAAAATGCAAAGTTCAAAATTGGTTAAAAAAATTTAACTTTTGATAAATAAAGGTTTTTAATGACGCATAATATTTCAAAGCACAAAGGACATTTTACTTTTAAAAAATACACTAAAGTAACACATATTTCAAAATGTTTACTTATTCCTGAACATCTAAGCAAATCCTTTCATAGAATTCACTATTAGGACAATAAGGAAAACATATTTCTCTTCACATTTCCCGAAACTCATGTAATTCGTCGAGAAAGAAAAAACAACACCAGAACCACTTCAGTTCGAGAAGTCACGAGTAGGTCGACGACGAATTGACTGCGGCCTATTATGTTTTCCACAAGAAGTTTCTTTTAATGAAAGTCGCTGAGAAAATGACTTCTCCGACAGAAACTCCAAACCGCATCGAAAGAGACGCGGGGTGACGAACAGGCAAACATCACCAGAAAACGACGTTGACTAGAAAAAATAAAGAAAAGACAGGATGTACTTAACCTACATAGGCCAAATTAGGCTATAGGAAAGTCGAAAATGTTCTATGGCTAGCCCAGTGACAAGGAATGTCCCATCACGCCTCATTCAGAAAGACGTGGCGGGAGGGATCAGAATCATTTAGCTGACACAACCAATGTGCCGAACACCGAAGTTTTGGAGGTGTCTTGGTGTTTGACGTGACTAATTTTCGTCCACGACGATAACTTCTACCCACTAAAGATCACGTTATTTCACGTAAGAACTATCAAATTGATATTGGTTACTCACCGCTTCGGCTGTAGTACGGTGAGAAATGGACAATTTGGAAAAAGGAATACTAAATTCAATAATTTCAACGACGCTGAGATATTTGCAAAACTCTGAACCGCATGTGTCTGCGGTGGGAAACGAACGCGCTATTGTCCTCTCCGAGGAGTAACGCGTTCACCACCATACCATGCGGGTCCTTCGTTTCGCCTGTCTCTCAGCTAGTTCTGTTGATCAGTGCCATCAGCAATCACCCATCAGCGGAATTAATCTGGGAAGCACAAATCGGCAATGAACCCAGTTAAGCTGAGGCTGTAGTTATAATCACAATTTTAACTTACTATTTACTGCCTACTAGGCACTAAATGCAATGTTGATTTCAGTAGACTATGGAGAAGAGCTATTAGAACAGTGAAGACACCGTAACAATCCGTAGGTGTTTTCATTTTTCTTTCGGTTTCTAAATGGAATGATAATATGACAGTACATGTCTGAAAGTAACTAACACCGCCGTGAAACCATGTTATGAATAAAAAATTGAGATCGGCACTTATTTAGCCCTTCTTTTCTGGAAAAGAATTTGTAGTTATTATAGATCGGGAAAATGAAGGGACTCGCTTCAAAACAATAAATTGCTGAATGAGACCAGGTGTAGGCTGGGTCGAGCACGGTTGAAGGAATCAAGGAAATCGCTGCAGCCGTGGGAATTGTGTCCTTCCTAGAACATTTCTACTATCCCATTCCACTTACGATTCTCCTAAAACGCAAAGGTTGCGCTTCGCAAGAAAGCAATCTTCGTTCTGATGCATAACAGCAAGCGACTGCCTGCGGTAATAACCTGGGACCTCGATAGCTTGGCTATCTCGGGATTGCTTTTTGAAAAAAAATTTGCTCAACCACTATTCAGAATGTTAATGAAGGCAGAAAACAACGCAATCTCGGGGAGCGGACTAACCCCCTAGTGGACGCAACCACGCGGTTGCAAGACAAAAAATGGAATGAAAGAAATTCTGGGTATCGAATGACAGATGATCTAAGACGTGATGATCTAAGAATATGACTAAAACTAAACAAAGACGAAAATTTTTACATTACCTGTTCCACCAATAGTGTTTCACTGGCGGCCGAATGGCTTTGTATGAACTCACCATTCGTATCGTTGGTGCTGCAGAGCCGCCCAGGTAGACACTGCTTGATCGAGGAGCATTGAAGATTATAGTTTTCGTTAAAAAAAAGTCCTTTTTTACCTTATTTTTGGCGACAAAATAGGCATGGATATCAAACGGAGCCCGGCTTTGTCATAGCTGGACTTTAGATAAAGATATCGAGCTACCACTCAGCCTGGGAAACCTTTTTGCATACTGGAATCGAGCTGTGCCTGGAGAACAATACGAAGGAACAAACTTATTCAATCATGGCTGGACAATAAAGTATTTGTGCTCAACCAAGACTAAAAAAAACCAAACTGGTTGACACTTGAACGATTCCTCACATAGTTTCTCAGAAACGGTAAATGTTTTATGTGCTGATCACTCAAAGATGGAGCTTGGGTTGACGTCGTGGTAAAAGATATACTATACTACATTCAAAACGCCGAGACTTTGCTTTATAGGTATTTACGTTATATATGTTTGACACGATTGAAATGGAAATTGCTCAAGTGATAACGGTGTCCAGTGACAACAGAGTAACAGCAATGAGCAAAAGCGACATAGTTTAAGATAATAAAAAGGTGACAGTAAGAACAAACCAAAACAGAGAACAAGTCAAAGTTCAATAGAAACTGTATAAAGTTAGTTAACAGAAAAGTTTGAAGAAGAGAGTATTAAGCTAAAAAAGTAGATGGGAACGCGGTGTTGAAGTGGGAAAGGGAAAGAGTACGATATATCAGTTGTGCCACTTGCGAGGCTGCTAATAATCCAGTGACACCTGTAAAGTTTCCATTGTACCAAACGTGTGCCTAGTAGGCTCCGTTTGACCAAGTACCACTGCAAGATCTATATTTTGCCGTTAAGTTCTTCATTTTTAGCGCTCTATGGTGAGAAGATGCCAGCAAAGACATCAAGTTGAGTTCTGAAGTGGGAATTGAAGGTCTTCCGGACTATAAATGAGAAACACATAATGTAGGTGACCCGAAACGGCCTCCCATGTGTTTCGAGTCAGTTGATTGCTGGTTTTTGGCTGAATCGGTGCAAGAAAACTCATGCACGCAACCATGAAGAAGATAATATCGCGAAGGAAGGCTCTTCATAGAAACAATGGAAGAAAGTACGTCCCCACAACCTCTTTGAATTTCAGATCAGCTACACGCTCCTTAATTGCATTTAACTAGTTGCTCCATCCTGGGAACACTCTGCGAAGTCTTATGACTGGCGGGCTTGTGATTCCCTGTGAAGAGAAGTCTGGCGTTGGGTATTCGAAATTATTATTATTATTAATATATTGACAAGGCAGAAATGGGTCCAAAGGATTCTTTGTAAACGTATTTTACAGAGGGATCGATAAATCATTCTGTTTGAACCGGAAGAAAATAAAGACTAAAAACATTTCTCCATTGGGAAACCTGCTATGAAGTAAAAAGCAGAGTTCGAAAATATTAAAGACCTTTTAAAAACCGAAGACGTGATTTTAATCGTTCCGCAGCATTCAAATGATACGAATTTTA